AATACGTTTTATTTAGTACTTTTCAAAATTAAATAAAAGAATCAATCCCAGATAGCTGCCAGTACTTACCCAGAAGGTGCTGATTTGTCCAGTACTACTGTAGTTTAGCCCACAGGTATCGATTGAAGCCTCGAAAGAAGGATTGTTAAATCCAGCTGCCACGCAAGGTTCCGTTTCTGCTAGATTACTTTGACGACGGTTCACAAGTAAACAGTAGAAGTTCATGAGACAGAGTACAAAACAATTTAAGCCATAATATCGTTAGTTGTAGCATTATAAACAGCTGTGCAGTGTCTTAGTGTCTGATAAACCTTCAAACTCATTGATATGTTACTCTCACTGGACTTCATGGATCATATTTAATCTTTCTGCTTGTACAAAAACATGCCCACACTGTTTTAAAGCAACCTTGTTATCAGTCTGAGCACCGAGCATGCACAATATTTGAGCCCTGCAACAGGCTGTCATAACTGAAAGCCTCCATTATTAATGTTATTTACAAGTCTGATGCTTTTTCTGTTATGAAATGTCAAAATGTCTGCCATGAAAAAGGTCGAATTTGCCAAATGAAAAATGTTTGTCACCATAAAGCAGATACTAATTATGTTCAAAATCATTTTAAATAAAGAATTTTTGCAATTGTAATTAATACATGTAAAAACTACATTATAGAGATAGAAATGTAATAAAACTTACCAGAACCTTATCAAAAAAACTGATCTCTGATCAATATTCACAGGAAATAATCTGCTCAGAATTCATCCAAATTATTCAGTTTTTGTGCTCATTGTTCAGTTCATCAGTTGGTATCTACTTTTATTGTTATGCATTGTATATAATATGAAATATCCATGAAATATGTCACATAGTCCGTTTGGGGTCACCAACCACTGCTATAAACACTGTGGCTGTATCTCACCTGCCCGTTTCCTGTATGCAGAAAGACTGTGGTGCAGCTGGACATGGCTCACACCAAGAAGGCTCTGGTGGTTCCAGCCTTCGAGACGCTTCGTTACCGCCTGTCCTTCCCCAAATCCAAAGCTGAGCTGCTCTCCATGCTGGACATGGGGACTCTCTACACCTTCAGGTACCTGAACAGAAACAACAAATGAATGGATAATGATTGGTAAGTAAATTGGAGTTATGGAAGTAATGCATCTCTTCCTGCCTCTCCAGGTACCATGTGTGGCCCAAAGGTCACGCTCCTACCAACTATGCCAAATGGCGAACAGCCACCACACCTTATAAGGTGGAGTGGGAGCCAGACTTTGAGCCGTACGTTGTGGTGAGGCGGGACTGTCCAGAGTACGACCAGCGCTTCGTGGGCTTCGGCTGGAACAAAGTGTCCCACATCATGGAGCTGGATGCACAGGTACGTCTGCACCATAATGCACCATGATGGCTGGTTATAGAGGGCAGGGCTTTTAGGTCAATGAGGGTATTTCAAACACACCTGTGATTTTCTTTCACGTACATGCTATGTGCAAAAGTGTTAAGCTAATCATCATCTTCTCAGACAGTCTTAAAACAAGTCTCCCAGTTTCCTACACTTTTTACGTTTTAAATGCATAGTTATAACTAAAAAAGAGCTTGGACTTAGAAACTAGTGTTTAAAAAAGAAAATGGAAAAGCTGATCTCAGTCATATTTAAAATAATACCAACAACTTTCAAAAGGGTGTCTTTGAAAAGGCCTTATAATGTCTTAAATATGCCATTTTCTATTGTGTGGTTTATCATTTCTGATCACAACAAGCTAGCCAACAGTGGTTATGACAGTATAAACTTACTTTATCCATTTTAACTTTGTTCTGTTTGTCTCGTAGCCGAAAGGAATGAAGATGAAACCTGTCTGAATAGACACAAAGCCCAGAAGTTATCCTGAACCTGAACAATAAATTAGTTATTATGATGAGAAATACAATGTTTGCTTCAATTCAAATCTCACTGCACACCACATCACTGCAAGTTATTATTTCTCTACATGAGCTGAGAGTTTGTTTGGAGTGAATGATGCATTCTGCAAACAGCTTATTCAAGGTTTGTTTAAAGAAGGGAACCTCGAGAGAAATCCAACAGTTTCAGTAACTCTCGGTTGTGTGGGAGTAAATAAATTCTTTATGTAATGTTTGTGGAAGCCAAAGCGGGATATTTGTTTCTGAGATGAGAAAAGCTTTCATTATTTCCTCGTTGTCTTTCCTCAGGAGTACGACCTGATGGTCCTCCCCAATGCTTTCATGATCCACATGCCCCACGCTCCCAGCTTCGACATCTCCAAGTTTCGCTCCAGCTCCAGCTACCGCAACTGTCTGAACACCCTGAAGGACGAGTTCCACCAGGACCTGTCCAGGAAATACGGCTCGGCTGCTCTCAAGTACCTCACCGCCCAGAGGAACATCTAAAAAAACAACAAAAACAACAACAACAACAACAACAACACAGATCTGCTGAGAGCCGGCGAGTCCATCAGCCTCCAAGCTCCTGACCTGAGAGCTCGGACATGTACCGGCGCAGCGCTGCGCAGCGGGCCGCGCCACCGCTGGGCGCAAACAATGACGGTAAAGCTTTACAGCCCTTCGGAACATTGTCGGGCTCCTGTGCATTATTTCTCCAGTCGACTCCACCTCGAGGTGATGAGATGCAGAGACGGAAAAAAAAAACAGACGGAGTGGCAGCGGATTTCCCAAACGCAGGATTCACTGTGGATTCAGCCCAGTGTGGATATGATGGGACTAGCTTTAAGGCCGGGAAATAACAACCATATTCTTACAATTTGTTCTGACAATCAGGGCTTTTTTCTTTTCCAGAAGACACACTATGGACCGGTGGATATCTGGACATGACGGGACACGTGTGGTTTGGGGAAACATTTAAAAAGAGACATTTGAGTCATATTTGCAAGGCCAGTCGAACTGGAGAAAGATTTAAGCCTTATCACTTCCCATATACTGAGATATTTAGATAGATACTTTAATTTCTCCTTTTTTCCAGTGTAAATCAGAACCAATGAAAAACAAACATTTACAATGTTTTGATTACGACTTTACATAAGAATCAGTTTATTTTTTCCTTTCTATATTTTCTGACCTCTTCAATCCATCATGTCCCAGTCGAGTTATTTCCGTGAGCTTCAGGGATGTGCTTTGTATGTGTGTGTGTGAGTGTATGATCCAGCTGCATCATACGGCTCGTCTTCAACACGCTTACTGATTGTCGTCAATGTCATCTCGCTTTTGTCTTGATCATATATTTGCTTGCATGTAAAGAGTTGCACTACATGTTCTTTTCGAATAAGAAAAATAGTCAGTTTTCTCCCTTAATTCTTTCCACTGAAAGAAGCAAAAATCTTCTACTGGTAACAGATGTATCTGGGTGGGACCATCTCACGCGACCAACACTGACCGTACAGTGAGTTGTTAATAATGAAGCTGTCAGCTCTGAAATCAAACTGCTGCACTCGGACGAAGGGCAGGAGCTTTTTCAGTTTCTTGTGTTTGTGCCATTACATCTAAAATGTGTCTGATTCACTGGATGTGTGTGCCATCTACTGTACCAAAGTCCAACTGAAATCACAAAATTCGTATCTTTCTGCAGTCTGTTCAATGTATAGTTAGTCTGACTGAAATCCAGATCCAGGTTTTTTCGGGCATAATCATCACAAAGTAACTGCATTCAGGGGTCCGACTTTCATTTTCGGCCTACCCATGAAGACCTCTTCTGAGGGTAAAACTAATTGGTTCTAGTGACTGTAGCTAGCAAGTAAAGGATAAACGGCGTAATTAAGGAAATATAACCATTTTATATCTCAACTGACAAATCTCAAATCCAGTTTTTAAATGTACGACTGCAGTCAACTCACTGATTAGCTGCACTAAATAATCTGACATCTCACAATAACAGGTGGTTGTTTATCACGTGACCAAAGCGCCATCGTATGGGTACGCGATTATTGGACTGAGCGAACTACTGTTCCTAAGGTCAAGAATGAACCTAATTAGGTTCTCAGATAACACAAATTAGCATATACGCAGACAGGAAGGGGCTTCCTTTAAACCAAACTATAAAAATACAGTTCTCATCCTTTTGGATGCTGATTTCCTTCCACAAAACGAGTCCGCCTCTAATTCACAGAGCAAATCTGTGTGTTCAGCAAAAGGAAAATGTGTAATTCAGTTTCAGTTGGACTTTAATCTTCCTAATTTCATTGTTTGTTTCTTTTTATCCTGACGATGGCAGTGTATTTGTCGAATAATCTCAACTGAGTGGAGTATCACGGTCTCCAGAGGATGATTTTAGTGTCTGTAGACTAAATGTGAGTTATTGTTAAGTTTGATTGACCAAATCTTTGGCCCCTGACAAACTATTTGAAAAGTTCTTGGCCTGATATTCTGATGTATATTCAAGATCCCCAAAGGATGATATTGTTTTTATGTCCTTTCCTCGAAGCGTAGGACAAACCTCACTTCAGCTCCAATAATAGAAGAATGGTGGCTGTGACACTGTGGCCCCTCGGGGACCGCCAGCAGAGCCGAAGGCTTTTTGTTTTTTAATCATTCGCCTCCTCTTTTAATTTTCTCACTTCTATTGTGTTAAAGAACACTGTGTCCCTTTTATTTTCTCGATCCCTATCTGCATTTGGACAAAAGGCGAGCAGAGCCGAATCGATTCGAATCTCGTAGAATTTCCACAGAGGATGAGGCCGAACGAGGAGCACGATGGCGTGGCGGCGTACGTGGCGGCCGCGGGCTCAGACAGAATTAGGTTTGTTGAGGAGTGAGTGTGAACTGTGCCCCCCTCCCCCGCTGCCATCCCAGCCGCCTCCATTGACTTGTTGTTGATTGTGGTAAATGCTAGTGCCTTTGCTGTATTGTGAAACTGGATATTGATTGTACTGTTGTACCGACAGGGCCTGGGCCTGGTCAGGCACTCTATTTATTATTGTTGACTCAAATCAATCATATTTTTCTATGTAAGTGCTTTAAATAAATTTGCCCTTTTGTAATCACTTTGTCTTGGGTTTTTTGCACTGACTGATCCTCTTCAAACTTTTCTTCAATTACTGTCGAGTTTTCATTAAATTAAAGTTATTTTTGAGATTGAAACCTTGAGGATTTATTTTAATTCATACCCCTACAGGGCCCATAAAGTCTCTGGATATCCAGGAGTTATAATATTGACCAAGCTCAGTAAGCCTGTGTGAACCTTCCATGTGTGTAATTGGTCCAGTGAAAATTTCCAACACAAACTAAATTATTTTGGATGAATACAGAGGTCCCCTCATAGTTGTTTTTGTCCTGTTTAAATGCAAATGACAATAAATTAATTGGATACATAAATTTCCCTGCAGTGTGTTTAAAGACAACTGTTGCTTTTGTTCAGAAATGGTCATCGACTGGCAGCAAGTTACTTTTTTTCTTGCAAATACAAAGAATTTAGAATATATATTGTAGAAATACATAAAATGTATTTGTGTATGTGTATATGTCACTGGTTTCTCAGCGATACCAGACAACTGGCAGCAGTATTTGAGTAAGTAAGCAGTAAAAGCCAAGGTAGATCAATGACGTCAAGGACCTACTGCTATTTATGTTAAGAAAAAAAGTTTAAAAAATGTGGAAATGGCCCGAGAACCGCACTCCCAAAACATCCTCAGACTGAAGTAGTTCCTAAAAATACTGTGTTTCCGTCCAAACTAAGACTGAAGTTTTTGCTCTCAGAGTAATTCCAAAGCCTTTTAGTGCTAAAAGCAGGTCCTCAGTCTGAGTCTGAGACCTGCTCCCTGCTGCAGGTAATGGGCCTCATCATATCAGCCATTTGGAAAATTGCAACGGTAATAAACTTTTAAAAGCGTATTTAGACGCTGTTAAATTTAATAAGGACCCAATCAGCTCATCAACAAATTGAAACTATCCAATAATGCTGGAGAAGATGGTTTGTGCAACTCTGCAAAAAAAAATCAACTGATTCAACAAACGAAAAACGCTGGTCAGGCACCACCGTGTTCATCAGGTCATTAAGGGAACATTAAATAATCATGTTATGGAGAGAAACAGATAATGCCTCTTCTCTTGAATCTGAATTACAAATTCATGTTTGGTTTTCTGAATAATGTTTCCATGGTACACACACACACACACACACACACACACACACACACACACACACACTGCTACAGGAAACCAGCAAACCTTAAGGCTAACCCCGGGGCTACACTACAATATGCTAATATATGAAAGATTATTGAGTATTAAACACTGTCTGCCTGTCTGTCTGAGTCAGTGTACTTTGCAGCCAACATACTTCCGTTTTTAAATCAGAAAACCCAAAGCGGGAAAAAAGCCCCCCCCGACTACCATTTATAAATATGAGGAGCAAACGGGCTGTTTTTTTCCTGTAAATTGAGAAAAGTGTCATGGCAGCAGCACAAAGAAAAAAGTATGACCTGAAATTTAAGCCATTAGTTTAGCAGCACAATAAGAGTATTAGTAGTTTGGTGCTAAAGGAATTAAAGGCCTGTCCCCATTAAAGGCAGCGTGAGTTCAGTGATTGAAGCAAATAAAAGCCCAGATTGTTATTAGAAGTTTTACAGTAATAACCCAAAGAAATCTTGATGGTGTTTAACAATTGTTGCTATTTGGTGAGTCCCAGAACTTCATCATTCATCTATATTTACAGTAGTCGTATGCACACCAATGCTCTGTATTATCTGTGGGACAGCATTTGTTCATATTAGACTTAATATCAGCTATCTAACCCTCCTCGAGCTGCCGGTTCACAGCGGAAATTCATCCACCTCTCCCCTGCAGGGTTCTTAGCAACACCTTATCAATTATTAGTCAGCCTCTCTGCATGTAGGTCAACCAACCCCATATGTACACAGTGTTACACACACAGCACATATAATCACCAGGCATGTTTTATTTTACTGTAAAAGTTCAATCAATAGCCCAGGCTTTTATTTGGAACAGGCCTCTAAATGAAACAGGCCTTTAATACCTTTTACACAAATCCCTTGCAGTCAGATGTTTATTTAAACCAGTGTGAATATTAGTTGTATGAAAATTAAACTGATAACACTAACTGAAGGTTTTTAATCGTGGAGAATCTAACTGATGTAACGATGTGCAGCATCCATATCTACAAAAGATTAAACATTTCTATTTGTGTTGGCGATCTAAGCAGCTTCAAGACGTCAGAAAAACGGGAATTTAAACATCGATGATCCCATCACAACGATACGAACGTCATCTGCTGAAGAAAACCATGCAATGTGATCAAAAGCTCCAGAACAGCTACTAAGTGGACGTTGTGGTGAGATGGTTTGTCCAGATAACATGATTAATACAGCGATTTACACAAACACCGACACACACACACACACACACCCACACACACACACACACCCCCCACACACACCCCCACAAACACAAACACACACACACCCACACACACACCCGCACACACACCCACGCAAACACAAACACACACACAAACACACACACACCCACACACACACACACACAAACACACACACCCACACACACACACACTGCAGTTCTGCGTCAGCTGTTTCCTGCTCTGACATTTATCGCCTCAGCCTGGAATTGAATTGTCTCGTGTTCCTTGAATAACGAGCTCGCTCTCCTGTTTCACAGAGCAGAACTGTGAAGTGTTTCCTCATCTCTAATATCTGCACAAACATCTGAGCTGCCGTGATCTTCATCTACAGTTCCACCCAAACACTCATTCAGCAACGCAGCGTTCAGCAACGCAACGTTCAGCAACGCAACGTTCAGCAAGAGGAAACTACTGGGAGAGACGATAGAGGAAGAGTTTTCAGGCTGTTGTAGTTTCAACGTTATGAAGAGAAACAGAAACTCACATACTGCATCTTTTCTGAAATGTATCGGAATTGCAAATTATTTATTGTGATGAGTGGTTTTCTGAATAATGTTTCCATGATATGCTCTCACTCACACACAGCTACAGGAAACCAGCTAACCTTAAGGCTAACCCCGGGGCTACACTACAATATGCTAATATATGAAAGATTACACAGTATTTATTTATACCATGGTCCGGCTGAATACTGGATTCTGATTGGCTGCTGGGTGTCCATTACTTGTAAAGCTTTAGATGACAATCTAAAATAATGATCTATTTTTTTTTCTTTGGCCAGTGATCGTGGTAAAAGTCTGAGACACTATCAGCTAAAATTGATTTAATTTTGATATGAAGAGGAAATCTTTAATGTGTGGGGGTTTTTTTGTTTTCAGGGGAAAGTTTGCGCGGATTTTATTTTGGACTCTAATGTGCCAAACCTGAACATACATAACGAATCAAACTGCACACTTACAGTAAGGAAGACTAAAGGTTAAGAAAATAACTAATTGTGATTGAGACAAAAGGAAATGAACTGTAGGTGTGAGGATGATTTAACTCTTCTGTATAAGCGACCTGCGTAACGCCAGAATAAACCCCCCACTCCGATCACAGCGGCACTCATTTCTTATCCTCCTCACCTCGTAAAGAAATCCAACCACATCTGATCTGCTTCTTCCTTTTCTCTCATTGTCTGCAGTCAGTGTCAGTAATGTTGGATATGTAGGAACTGGAAACCATTATGTTAACTAAATGCTTTTTATGAAACAATAGAAATATCAGTTGGGTGTGTGTATACAAACAAAAGCACCAGAGCTCATTACACCCCCAATATTAAAGTCTGTGAAGGGTTCAAGGATTATTGAGGAATCCAGTCTCCAAATTTAATGACAATCTGTGTCTTAGATTACAGGATGGTTTGACAAAATTAAAGAAAATCTGATGAGATTTAGATATTATGTGTATAGTTATCAGTTTTATCTGCCAAAAGGGTACACAAATTTGAGTGAAACTATATAAGCTATACATTTTTCAGGCCATTGAAATTATACTGTGAAACCAGATCATTTAACTAAATAAAAATAGTTGAAAATGAATTTTAAGTAAAACTAACTCAAATATTCTTGATCAGTAATTTGAAGTGACACTGACTCAATTTTATCATTTTTATTTGTGCTGTGAAAACAAAACATCCAGTAAAAAGTACTTCATCAGGAAGTTTGTTAGTTAATGTAACTTAAAATTAATATTAAAAGCTGCTCTTTTGAAAATTAAAAGAGAGAAATTAAAAGAGAAAATTATAGTGTAATGTTAAATCCATTAATATCATGCATTTAGCATTAGTATGACGTCATTTTATGCACAGATCTTCTCTCAGCGGCCCGAACTCTACAGCGTGGTTCTGCTCTGTCATCTACAGAAAATACGATTATTTGCTGTTAACTAATTAGCTAGCCGTGCTGTTAGCTAGCTAACTAATGAATCTTGGCTCTGTGTCACTAAAAGGTGAAGCTGATTACCGGGTGAATGTCAGGATGTTATTGGCTGAAATTGGTTGGTGTCACATTTTGTTTTACAGTAAGACAAAATAATTTGATGTAAACAAAGTATACAAAGTGAACACTGTGTTCACGTTGTCAACTGATAATGACTGACCAAGGCCCCCAGTTTCACTGTGGGTATAGAAACAATATTTCCCTTCCTATACACGTATGTGGCCTACTCAAGAATCTTTTAGTCCAGTAAACAGATCAATAGTTTTGATGATGCATCTTTTTGGCACATGGCTGTGAGCCGCAATCACAAACTAGTTTCACTACCAACAAATGATTGTAAAATTGGACTTGGTCTTTTTTTAAAAATCTCTAATAAATGAATATTCTTTTAAACAGGACCACCAGAGCTCACAGGAGCCGCTAATCCAGCCTACAAAGGTGGATTATTACCTAGAAAACAAGTCTTTCCCAGTGCAGCTTTGAGCTCTCGTTTCCAGGCCTCATCCTGCCGGTCTGTGATTAGTTTATCCAGGTTCGCCTCCGGGCCCTGAGCCGGCTGACAGGAGCCGTGGCCTGCGCTCGGCGTCGAGTAGGAGGAGGCTATAGAGCCATTGGGGGGCCGGGG